AACCAATTCCTTATTTTATTCCTCCAGAGAATTCCCAGATAAATATGTAGCCCAAACAGGAAATGATTAGGCTAGTGGGTAAAAAAAGGCTACTCAGATTAAACTGGAGCCTCAAAACTCATTACAGTACTCATTAAACTTGGTTATGGAAGTGCTTTCCTGAGCCAGTACTTTCCAGTTTTCCCTTCATATTTTGCTTGCTAGACATCAACACTGTGTACTTAATTGCCTCCTTCCCTTTTAACCAATAATATCAGGACATGCGCTATTTAAGAATTACTTTGGCAGCAGATGAGGGCATGGCACTGTACAGAACATAAAGTTACAGGCTGCAATCTTATGTGCACTTCCTTGGGAGTAAGATTCATTGAATTTACTTCTGAAAGTTTACTTCAGAGAAGTTAACACACGATGGAATGAACAATTTCTACTCCCAGACCAAAGTTTTAAAAACTAAACATTTTGGATGGTATCTTCCAAACTCCCAGAATGATCACTTAGCAATGCAGTCTGGTGATTTCAATGGGAATGGTTCTAATAGTTCAAAAATGAATTTTTCCAAGCTGCTACCAAACAAATGTACCTAGAAAATGTGATTGCAATGAGGTAAAAGAAGACTTTAAAATATAGGCCACAAGAAGCTGTTTTCATTATAGGCAGGAGTATTTTCAAAGGAGCATTGTGTAGATGGTCGTACTGCACAAACACACACTTTTATATTAAACACAGAATTCACCATCCCAAGATCTAGTGAAATTAATATACATTTATTCATCAATGATAATAAAACAGAAATAGAAACTATTGTGCCATTTTAAAAACTAATAGATTTCAGTACAGATTTTCATGATGCACTTCCTTCAACTCATCCAGTGAAAAATCTAGACACATATTTACATGCAAGTATACTCTCTGAGGTGGGGACCCAGTAAGGAAGAATACAGGGACAGAAATGAACTTCCAAAGTGACAGTAGCATTATTAACACAATTAACAATCTTGAAGGGTGATCATATCATTTCTGTGCCTGTATCCCACCTCAGGGAGTACCAACTCTCCAATGTACTTACATATGAAGTTGTGGCAAATTATTTAATTCTATGTGTCTGACAAAGTGGGTTGTAAATCCATGAAAGCTCAGAATGAAATATATCTGTTCATCTTTAAGATGCCACAATATATCAATTTTAATTTTTGTTTTATTCTTGTTATATCTGCCGGCCCAAATCTTGTTCCTTACATACACCAGCATACAACAGCTAAGGAGTCAATATCACAGATTAGACCGACAACTTAATATACGAGAAGGAAAGCAAGCAACATCTCCTTAGCCAATGGTCATTTACTGCTGTCATTCACACAGTTGCACTTATGCCAGCATATGTAACCAATATGATTCTGGTCACTGAATGAAAGTAACATGGAAATTTACTGATTGCAAAAATGTCCATAAGCACTGAGGTTTAACTTTAACTACCATTCTCTTCTTCCTTTGCTATGTGTTTTACACCATACACTATCTGGCAAAAGAGTAGTCAGCTTGTTAGCTACCCATTCCCCTCGGCTTATTATATGCAGAATACATCATGTGAAAGGCCCGACTGTAGGAATCCCAAACTGGAATTAAGACTGTTGGAAGAAATATCAACAACCTCCGATATGCAGATGATATCACTCCAATGGCAGAAAGTGAGGAGGAATTAGAGAACCTCTTGATGAGGGTAAAAGAGGAGAGTGCAAAAAATAGCTGAAACTCAACAACAACAACAAAAAAACCCAAGATCATGGCCACTGGTCCCATCACCTCATGGCAAATAGAAGGGGAGGATATGGAGGCAGTGACAGATTTTACTTTCCTGGGCTCCATGATCACTGCAGATGGTGACAGCAGCCACAAAATTAAAAGACTCCTGCTTCTTGGGAGGAAAGCGATGACAAATCTAGACAGCATCTTAAAAAGCAGAGACATCACCTTGCCGACAAAGGTTCACATAGTCAAAGCTATGGTTTTTCCAGTAGTGATGTATGGAAGTGAGAGCTGGACCATAAAGAAAGCTGACCATCGAAGAATGGATGCTTTTGAATTGTGGTGCTGGAGGAGACTCTTGAGAGTCTCCTGA